CGTATGTAAGTTATCAAACACAAAACATGAATGGCTCTGTACAAAGGTGTAAATGCTTGCAATAAGGAAAACATCTGCCATTTATTCAATACATTCATTTTTTTATTAATTTCTCCCCAAGAAGAAGATTATAGAAAAAGAAAAACATACAGATAGGCCTGCGAAAGTTTTGCACAATTGCGTGTGGCAACTTCTTGTCCATTCAACGTAGTTCTCCTCCCACTTATCCCAATCCATCTTTCTCTTAAAACAGGTTGATCAATTATGCCAAGAATCTGAAAATCACAACAGCAGAAAATCAATACAATTTAAAGGTACAAAAAACATGCAGAGTAAATAAGACACGTGATAGTAAAACAGGTCGTTAGTTACATGTTTTATTTTCACTTCGCATAACTACAGGTGATAATAAAATGATAAGGTTTTCCTTAAGCGGCGACAACAAAACAATTCATCACAATTCAAACACAATCAAAGTGGCTCACGCCTCATAGTTCATACCAGCTTGCCTTTGTGCAACAGAGCTATGAGAGTGCCAAACAAGGGCTTCCCTGCCCCATATAATTCAAGGATAGGATTAGTTAAGCAATTTTTTCAAGTCCAAAGAAGATGTTAACAATGCTACGAGTAATTGTAGAAGGAAAACAATAGTTCAATAAGAAAAATATAGGCAAAATACCAGTAATAAAGCTCTTTGTCCCATCTATTGGATCTAATACCCAAACATATTCTGCAAACTTCTCTTCACACCTCCAACCATTTTCCTCTCCGTAGCTGAAATCAATATGCTTCTGTAAGTTCAGCAACAAACGTACAAGTACAGACCGTTCCAATAAACGCTAATGTACTCAAAAAACTAAGTAAGATATTAAATAAATTAAGCTAATTAGAATGTGTTTTCCAGTTTTAATTTCACATTCTGCAAAAGGCGAAAAACATAAAGGAAAGTGTAATGCTAAAAAATGTCCACCATTTCAGAAAAAATATACGGAATCACTCCTCAGCAACACATCACTTACATTGCATGAGAAGGAAAACTTTTTTGTATAATCGAAACCATAGATTCCTCTGCTGCTTGATCAGCAATCGTCACTGGACCTGAAGCCAAATCATCACAAATTTTCAGATTGTGCAAATTCGAAAATTGAAGTAACAAACAGACTTTTTAGGAAAACTCACTCAAATCTTCTTTGTCAACAATGTCGAAGCTTTTCCGGAAATACTTGCGAATCACTTCACCAGCGGCGTCGGCGAGTTCGTTACCGACTTCGGCGAACCTTTCGAGTTCGGAATCATTTAACCCTAAGTTAACGGTTCCGATATGATTTGAGAGTGTGCAGTTCGAAGTCATCGTCGAAGTGAATGTAAATGTTCGATTATTGATTTGAGAGATTGGGAGATTCAAGTTGTTTGTTCGAGAGAACGAAGGGTTTGGAGAAAGCCAAAGGCGTGTGGGATTGAGGTAATTTAGAGAGAGAAAACGAGTTTGAGAAAGCATTTGGAATTGAAGTTGCAGTGACGAGGTTTTTATAGAGGCGGGGCGCTAAAAAGGACGAGAATCACAGGCGAATGAGAACTCAAGTGCTGTGTGTGTGTGCAAGAGAGAGAGAGAGAGAGACGTGTTTGCAGCGAGGGGTTGGAAGTCGACGTGTTATGCACCGTTCAATAGTCGCTGACGAAATGGAATAGTGTGTCATTTAATTTGTTTTCGGAGAAGTCTACGGGTACCCAAAAAATAAAAAATAAATAAATCGTACCTACGTTATTGTGATAATTGTCTCGAGTTGTTAAGGTGTTTTGCGTGCAATAAAGTCATCCTAAATTGTTTTTCTAATTTATTCACTTAATTTATTATTATTTTTAAATTAATACATTTTATTAAATATTAAAATTAACAACTAATTCAATGATAATAAAAAATCATTTTAATAAATTAAATTGAACACGTGCAATCTTATCTCCAACTATGGCCACTCTATTGATCTTGTCAACTTGAAAATTAGTGTAAACGTTAGTAATTCTGGTATCTAATAGAGTTGTTAATTTTACAATTTTAGCAAAAAATTTTATTGTTCAATTTTTTTAATGAGTTAAAGGAGAATATTGCATTAATAAAATATTACTCCTAAAGTTATATGGGTTCTAAATCTGTTCCTTAGATCAAATTTAATGACCAAATTTATTATTATTTGATTGATAATGAATCTGTATACACTACTAGTCTAATGTCAATAGTAGATTTCATCATACAATTTGATGGGTAGACTAATGCACAGTAGTGTTACTTTTGAAGTTTAACGTTTGCCTTCTAAGCTATTAGGTGATTCTATATGTTGAATTTGATTATATTCCTTCCCTATCTCATCTCAAACAATTAAAAATGAAAAACTTGCATGGATTATTCAGCTTCTTTGTTTTAGATGTAACTCTTCATTAGTTTAGTATTAGTGCTTTTGATAAATTTTATAGGGATAGCTATAGCGTTCAAAAAATACAATGGTAAGCGTCTCATTGAACAATTATGAGACTGTGAGGTTGAATCTGAGAATAACTACTATTTAAGAGGATAATACTGATTATTAATTCAATATTACTAGTTGAACCTAATCATTTAAACTAACTTGCCAACCTAATTGATTATTTTTGTTAAATTAGTGGTAGACCTCATCTAAGACTATAACCAACTAATAATCCAATTAAATCGGATCATAATATCCAACTACCACGATGATGTTAGTGTTCGTAGAAAGGAGAGAGAATTGACATCAATTGTTGGGACGGGAACAGCCTTACGGTTTACCTGTTACCAAACACATCCGGTTAAGACTACCCACCTCGGTAGATCTTCTACCCCAATTTGAAAAAAAAACACATGATGTTAATTAAAAAGGAATAAAGGAATACCNTACGGTTTACCTGTTACCAAACACATCCGGTTAAGACTACCCACCTCGGTAGATCTTCTACCCCAATTTGAAAAAAAAACACATGATGTTAATTAAAAAGGAATAAAGGAATACCAACATGCAAACATAGTCCCGCACCAATCACTTAAAAAGGGATGAATGCCTTTAAGAATCACACCCAGCTTTTGGTGCAAATTCTTTTTTCCAGTTGCCTTAATTGTGAACATAGTGGAACTTAACGCAAATCCCACAAGATCCATGACATCCTACATCACAGGGAAGAGAGTCAGAGTAGACATCACTCTTCCACCAAGGCCCGAGTGCCGTTTTACACCAAGCAATCAAGCTCTTTCTTTAGCTTAAAGTCCCACTCAGCTCTATTTCCTGTATTGAAAGATACAATCATGCAAAAACACACAGTATTCTAAAGCCATGAACAACAAATCAGCGAAACACACAGCAAAAGCAAGCACATACAATATAGTCTTATTCATATTGGCAAAGGTCTGGTAACAAACAATCTGCGTACACGCACAAAGCCATTCAAGTGAATGTAACCTGATCCGAACCTCAGTTATGCTTCTGATATGCATAAAACTTCATCCATTTGCTAACCTGTTGAACAGCCTCACTGAAGAAAAGGGGAAAAAGTAACTCAAGCAAACCTATTGCCATTTGCCACACTTCTCCTTGAGACAAATCCAGATAACTGGTTTTAAAACAAAACCCAACAATACCAAAGCCGTGTAAAATGAGTGGGCATGATATCACCCACTAATAAACTAAAGCATCTTAGCCATTCGAGAATTTGACAGGGTAATTTCATGCACTTAAATGAAACAATCAAATTCAAGTTTACGAAATAGGAGATGACTTGTTATCCTTGATTCACTTCCATTCTACGATGGTTCCTTTCATATGTAACAAATTGATCTTTCCTTTATGTATTGTTTAGCCCTTCTTTACAGTGTACCTTCAGAAGCTAACCTATTCCTGCCCACAAATCCAGTTAAAGATCCAGATGACTGATCTCCTGCGCCTTTCATGGTTCAGTAACTGAGATTGCAAGGGAAGATCAATCGTGGAATCAGCAGATGTAAGAATACCAAATCCTGCACGAGTAACATAAAATATGACTTGTGAACCAAATGATAGAATTTCTCAAGAGCTTAAAGCAGAGAAATTTAGGGGGTATTGCAATGCAAAGTCTACACTCCAGATGTTCAAAGTATTCGCCTAGACTGAAGTTCAAAAGGCTACAGATATAAAATTGGTCGTTAGTAAGGTGCAAAAAGGAAGTTCTCCGTTAGTCTCGGTCAGAGAAGAGCATATATGAGAGCAAGGGATGTTAACCTCTTCAGATCCAGAAGCAGCTCAGTTCTTGCCAGATTTTGCCCAGAAAAACCCCCTCTTTCGAACAGAAAGATTCTCTGATGAGGATCTATCCCCCTTTGACCCAAATGAAAAGTGCCGCCTCAAGAAAGGCTTCCCCAAGGAGCTCTTCATACTGGAACTTAAGCTCATCCTAGGACCGCTACTTTTCTGGCGATCAAACACAACAAGATCACTACTTAGATCACTATCCACAACCCGGTTCCTTGATTTCTTGTTTCTAGCCTTCAAGTCCATTTCAGCTTTCAATGCTTTCTCGGACAGCTTCAGGGTTTGTTTCTCCCCCAAAGTACAAACCGGGCAGGTGGGGTCATACTTGTTGATTTCAGGCGTCATATTCTCCAGGCACTCAGCATGGTAAACATGGCCACAAATTAAAACAGCCACCACAGCAAGCTCATTAGTGGCTATAATTTTCTGGCTGCCCCAAGAAGATTTCTCAATTAAAAGCTTTGAGCAAACCCCACAGTTTTGGATATCAAAAGAGGAAGAAGCAGAAATTCGGCCACTAGATCTGGATATCTTGTCACGATTGAAGCCTAAGGACTCACTATCAAAAGACCATCTCTCTCTATGAGAAGTTGCCATGAGCTCAGGAAAGGGAGGGATAGACCAACTATCTGAAGACCCACCATTGGAGCCCCTTGTTAATTCATTGCTCCACTCAGGCAGCACAAAGGAAGATGGCTCCTCAGAAATTGAGAAATTTGGTGACTTCAATCCTGGAATCCGGCTATCTGATACTTGCCGCAATAGCCGATTTCCTGGGGAACGGCGGGACCACCTTGGTGGAGTAGAGGTTGTAGGTACCAGGTGACCTTGAGATGACAAAGGAGATGTAGACAAAGATGAAACTGAATGCACTGAAGGTGATAGCTTTGTGGGAGATGTATCTGAAACTGCTGAATACCCTATTGGCTCCTTCACCTGAATTAACAGAGGGAAAACATGTACTAGTAATGAAACTGAACCGAAACAACAAATTAAATAGCACAACATAAGGCATTTGCACCACAGGAAACTCCAATTATTCTGCACTTACCTCTGGAGAATTCCTAGAAATTGATAGATCTGCAAACGAAAAAGAATGAGATGTCATATACAGCACAACATAGTTAACCATTCATGCACTGCATCTCAAATGCCAATGAACTTGGGGTACAAAAGGCCAAAAGTTCTAGCTTAGTCAAGATTTGAAGCCCTAACCAAGAATAATTTTTTTTTTTTTAAGGGAAACCAAGACTAATGAGGCTTCACCTTTCACAAATGTACACAGAGAATAAAATGGTAGAAAAGATGATTTACTACTTCTTTCTCACATGTCTCAAGTCAGCAAACAAGGGAAAGCTCATATGTCCCCAGATGAATCATGATAATCCCAAACTAAAATGACAGGAAACACCATTGGATATATGTGGCATTTGTCTGGATTGTAAACATTTATTTCTTTCAAAACACAGCATAGATTCAAAAACAAATAAATGAATACAACTTGCAGTACAATCAACAAAAGGGATATAATCAACTGTTGATTACATGGATACAAGATGAGCAGCAAATAATATGATCAAAATCTCAAAATAGTTCACTGGCCCCAACATGTCTGCCAACAATATTCAGACATTTAATTATTGCTTCTTTTGATAAATAAGGCACAGATTCCATGTCAGAATCAGTAATAGCTATCATCTCATGAAAGAATGGCTAAAATAAAAATAATAACAGCTGCAACATGTATTGCAAACCAGGTGCTGGTTGAATTCTAAGTAAACCTTAGTAAGTTCATACATGAGTTTAACCTTTCTAGGCCAGGTGGATCCGGTTCAATACAATCAACAAACATTCACAATAACTCAAAGAGGTTTAAAAGTTCCGTCAAAAAGCTCGAAACCTACAAATTTCTATGCACACTATCAAGGTTAGTGAACCTGGAAAGAATAGAAGATGTCGAGTAGACAAAACCAACCTTCACTCTTTGTTTCTCGAAAATGAAAATGAGTAGGTACACAAAAAGACACAATCACACACAAGACACATAAAACTAGTTGGTGCCCCATGTAAGTTGTATGTGGACCTTTTCAAATTATAATTTTAGTTTTTATTTTCTACTTTTTATCCATATTTGTGGTTTAAGTATACATAAAATAAGTGTGAAGTTAGAAAATAAAAGAGGCAGAATGTAAAAAAGAACATATCATGTCGTTGATTTGATTAATTATTGGTTGTTTATGATATTTATATTTCACATATTTTGCATCTGTCGTGGCTGTGGGTAACACTAACCAAAATTCCCATCAAGAATATAGAGTTTCTCACTCCAAATTACATTTGGATTGAAAAAATTACAATCTTATAGTACATATTTGACAATTGAAGACCAAAAAATAGATTAAAACTAAATATAA